CGGGGGGGAGAGAGACAGGGAGGGAAAAAGAGAAAAGACCAAGGGATGAGAGACAGGGAGGGAGAGAGACGGGAGCAGAGAGAAAAAGGGGAGAACGGGGGCAGACAGACAGAGGGAACCCGAGGGGGAAGGGGAAGACAAGAGGAGAGAGAAGGGAGGGAAAAGAGACAGGGGAAGGAAAACAGGGAGAAAGAGAAAGAGAGCCAGTGAGAAGGGAAAAAAGGACAGGGAGCAGAGGACAAAAAAGGGGGAACGGAGACAACAAAAGAGGGGGGCAGAGAGACAGGGGGGAGACAGGGGGAGAGAGGACAGGGGGGGGGAGGAAAGGGAGACAAGAGACAGGGGGGAAGGAAAAAAAACAGGGAGGGAGAAACAGGGAGGCAGAGGACGGGAGGGAACAGAGAGACACGGGGGGAGAGACAGGGGGAGTGAGACAGGGGGGAAAAGAGACAGGGAGAAAAGAGACAGGAGGGGAATGGGGAAGGGAGGCAAGAGACAGGGGGAAAAGAGAGACCGGAGGATGAGAACAGAGAAAAAGAGAGAGAGACAGGGAGAAAAAAGAGAAAAGGAAAGACAAGAGACCGGGGGGGCAGAGGGACAAGGAGGATGAGACAGGGGGAGAGGAAGGAGGGGAGAGAGGGAGCAGAGAACAGGGGGGGAAAAGAGACAGGGAGGGAGAGAGACAGGGAAAGAGAGAAGGGGGCAGAGAACAGGGAGGGAGAAACGGGAGGAAAAGACAGGGAAAAGGGGAAAGGGGGGCAGAGAGAAAAAGAAGGAACAGGGAGGGAAGCCCGGGGGACCGAGAGACAGGGGAAGAGAAGGGAGGGAAAAAGGGAAAAAGGAGACGAGAGACAGGAGGGAGAGAGACAGGGGGAAGAGACGGGAGGCAAGAGAAGGGGAAAAACAGAGAGACACAGAGGATGAGACAGGGGGAAAAAGAGACACGGGGGATGAGAGAAGAGGACAGGGAGAGAACAGGGAGCAGAGAGACGGGGAAGACAGGAGGACAGGGAGACAGAGAGACACAGAGGATGAGACAGGGAGAGAGACAGGGAGGGAGAGAGAGGGAGACAGAGAGACAGGGAGGGAGAGAGACAGGGAGGGAGAGAGACAGAGAGACACAGAGGATGAGAGACAGGGAGGGAGAGAGACAGGGAGACAGAGAGACAGGGAGACACGGAGACAGACAGACAGAGGGACAGAGAGACAGGGGAGAGACAGGGAGGCAGAGAGACAGGGAGGGAGAGAGACAGGGAGACAGAGAGACAGAGAGACAGTGAGATAGGGAAGCATAGAGACAGGGAGACAGAGAAACAGGGAAGACACGGAGACAGACAGACAGAGGGACAGAGAGACAGGGGAGAGACAGGGAGGCAGAGAGACAGGGGGGGAGAGAGACAGGGAGACTGAGAGACAGGAAGGCAGAGAAACAGGGAGGGAGAGATACAGGGAGGCAGAGAGACACGGAGGATGAGAGACAGGGAGGGAGAGAGACAGGGAGACAGAGAGACAGGGAGACAGAGAGACAGAGAGACAGAGAGACAGTGAGACAGGGAGGCATAGAGACAGGGAGACAGAGAGACACGGAGGATGAGAGACAGAGAGACACAGAGGATGACAGACAGGGAGACAGAGAGACAGGAAGACAGAGAGACAGGGAGACACGGAGGATGAGACAGGGAGAGAGACAGTGAGGGAGAGAGAGGGAGACAGAGAGACAGGGAGGGAGAGAAACAGGGAGGGAGAGAGACAGGGAGGAAGAGAGACAGGGAGGGAGAGAGACACAGAGGATGAGACAGGGAGAGAGACAGGGAGGGAGAGAGAGGGAGACAGAGAGACAGGGAGGGAGAGAAACAGGGAGGGAGAGAGACAGGGAGACAGAGAGACAGAGAGACAGGGAGGGAGAGAGACAGGGAGGCAGAGAGGCAGAGAGACAGGGAGTCAGAGAGACAGGGAGGGAGAGAGACGGGGAGGCAGAGAGACAGGGAGAGAGAGACAGGGAGAGAGAGAGACAGGGAGGGAGAGAGGGAGATAGACAGGGAGGGAGAGAGAAAGGGAGGGAGAGAGACAGGGAGGATGAGGCAGAGAGACAGGGAGAATGAGACATAAAGACAGAGAGACAGGGAGGATGAGGCAGAAAGACAGGGAGGCAGAGAGGCAAAGTCAGAGAGAGGGAGGATGAGGCAGAGAGACAGGGAGGATGAGGCAGAAAGACAGGGAGGATGAGACAGAAAGACAGAGAGACAGGGAGGATGAGACAGAAAGACAGAAAGACAGGGAGGCAGAGAGGCAAAGTCAGAGAGAGGGAGGATGAGGCAGAGAGACAGGGAGGATGAGACAGAGAGACAGGGAGGATGAGACAGAGAGACAGGGAGGATGAGACAGAGAGACAGGGAGGATGAGGCAGAGAGACAGGGAGGATGAGGCAGAAAGACAGGGAGGCAGAGAGGCAGAAAGACAGGGAGGCAGAGAGGCAAAGTCAGAGAGAGGGAGGATGAGGCTGAGGCTGAGGCAGAGAGGCTGAGGCAGAGAAGCAGAGACACAGGGTCCTCTCTCCAGCCAAGTGGTCGGTCGGTTGGTCTTGTAGGCGTTAGCAGACACCCAGGATCACACCCACTGGTGTGTATCATTAACTGGCCACAGAAGGGGGGTGAGGTGTCACTATCGCTCCACATTGGGCACAATATCGCCTTACCATACTTTGAGGAGCATGAGCAGTCCATAGAGTGGACTGACTGGCCAAAGCACACTGAAGCAAATGCATTTGTCGAATAAAAGATTGCAAGATATCTGACACTGTGAAGGTATTATTTGGCTGTTCAGAAAGTAATAGTAACATTTGGGTAGGAACACCTGGAATTTGCCTGGTAATTTAAGTGACTACTACCATTGTCATTTTATTTTTTTTATTTTTTTATCTCCTAAAATGAGTTGAGATATCTTCAATGGTTGTCTGTGCTTGTGCGGGTATGCCCTTAAGTGCAGTGCCAATTCAGTTCAGCTCTGACATTGTGGCACCTCACAGGTTGACTCATAATTGCTAAGCTTTGGTAAAAAGCTTTGGGGAATAAAAACATTTATATCACAGAAAGAACTCAAGGTTGAAAACTCTCTATAAAATGGTGCATGACTTGACTAAACTGCAGATATTCTGTGGCACTACAAAGAGTGGAGTGGGTTTGCACTCAACTACATTGCCATAGTAACATGTGGGAAATCCAACCAGTATATTGAAAAATAATTTATGAATTAATTTTACTGTGGAGAAATAAAATAGCAAGTGTTTGTGTGAGATGAATTGCTCTGCACATTAGTGGGTGTATAAATGTGTAAAAAGGTGTAGTGTCAGTAATTCCAATGATCCTACTCAAACCCCACAGTGACCAGTATGAAGGTTAAGGCAGGCAGGGTATAATCAGAAGCTGAACTAACCTCCCATCAGGGGCTAACCTCAGATGTTCACTAGGGGATACTGCCACCTAGTGATGCTTATTTACATTAACCCACTGTCTCTCCATGGCTTCATTGTCTCAATCAGAGGTATAGCCCTAAATTATAGGATTAATGGCACATCATAAAATGACAGATTTTGAAACCAAATACTATAAATGATCTAGAATTTTGCCCATTTTAATTTAGGCTAAGAAATTATGACTTGACTTTTCAGCCTACTTAAGTAGAATATTTGTAAGAAAAATGTATGCACTCACTAAAAAACTGTAAGTCGCTCTGGATAAGAGCGTCTGCTAAATGACTAAAATGTAAAATATAAAATATTTCACTCTAGTATAGCCCAGCTTTCAGTTTGCTGATCACTTGGCTCTACCTTGTGGACAAATAGAGATACTGTTACGAAAAAATATATTTTTATTTCAAGTACAGTTCTGTTTTTCCTGCGTTTTATATCATATTGTACAACAGCTGATGAAACTAACACTATAAAAGTGTGAAAAAAATGTGATCAGTGTTATTTTCTGAATGTATTACCAACTAGCCATAATCTACACAGGACTTTCTAATCAGCAGGTTTGCAGTGGCGGGAGTTTTTAGCTTTCCACGCTTAAATCAACATGCAGTAAATTAGTTCATAGACCAACAATAGCAACGACAGTTCCAAACCTCTCTGCCAATAACAGATCGTTTTCAGTTTTCCCCTCCCCACTCAGACCACTAACAGACAGTCCTAGCAAATTTCTTCTTGAGAAATAGTTTTTTGCTAAAAAGCCAAATTTGCGCATTATAATGGAAATCTATTACAGTAAGGTACTCAATTGTTACCCAAATGATTTGATATTGATATAAAAACAGCTGCATTGGGCCTTTAAAATGTGCCCTTGCCAACATAATACCCCAATCTCAAACAAAGATCAGGACTGGAAACAAAAAATTATTCACATTGTCATACCTCTCATATTGCAAACACCTGCACACATCTACCCTGTTTGAGGACACTTATTTTAGCCCTAGTGCAGACACCCCATCCATCAAAAGCAGGAGTGGGGGTCTGGCTGTGCGTGCTTAATACGGATGTGCGCTTAAATAAAGGGACAGCTTCTGCCTCCTCCTGTCTGTCCAGTACCACACTCTCCTTAGAATTTCTATGTGACGTGTAGAGTGCATAGGCCTACTCAGAGGATCCATATTGTGAGTGGGCAGATCTGGTATATTATTGCCATTCTAGTCCCAAGGGGCACAACTTTGGTTTTAGAAGTGGGGGGGACATATATCTTTTACTTTTTAAAAATCCTTTCGGATAAACACTCCAACCAGCCTACCAAACCACTCGGAGGCGTCTGCATGGTCCTAAAGCACACCGTTGCCTCGTTTTGTATCACATTCCAATGATAAAACTGGGGGGGACAAAAATGCAATTTCAGAATGTGGGGGGGACATGTCCCCCCCCGTCCCCAGTGAAAGTTGCGCCCCTACTAGTCCATGTGACCAAATGACTACAACTGTAGTCCCAACAGTGAGCTTCTCCTCTGGCTCCCCCTGCTGGCTCAGTGTGTGAAGTATCCCAGCTGGTGCATCTTGTGCAGGAGGTTGTGCATAAGGTCAAAGGTGGTAAAGCTGACCCCCACAGCGATTGGCCCTTTGATCCAGTTCATACTGAGGCCCTTGTAGAGTCCACGCACCACCCCTTCCTGCACCACGATCGTCTTCATGGTGCCCAGGACGCTGCCGTACTGTTGGCCCGTCACCCCGGCCGTCTGCATGCGTCGGCGAACCACATCCAGCGGGTAAGAGGCCGACTGGCCGATCAGGCCGGCGCACGCACCGAACGCCAAACGCTCGTAGGAGTACGGCTGGGACCGTTTAGTCCTCTCTGGAGTGAGGGGTGGCAGACGGCGAGAGAAAGAGAGAGATCAAATTAAGTGAATCTCAGTCCTTCATTAAAAAGTTGATTTTCCAATAAAGATCATTATTTATTTTTTAAAGTCTGTACCTGCATGCAGTTTCTTGAGGGTCTCGTATGTGAAGAAGGTGATTCCTGAGTATGGGATCACTCCCAAGATGGTCGGGCAGAAGCCTCTGTATAGGGTATTTATGCCCTCCTCCTGAGTGATGCGCACAAACACGTGCATGATGTTGCTGTACCTGCAACCAAAACAAGAACGATAAGAGAAGGATATTAACCTATAAGGACATTAGATTAGGATAGTAACATGACCTATACTAACCTACAGTATATGCCTGTTGGACATTGAACAAGTGTGCAAAGGGGAGCCACCTGCACATATGTTTTTACATTCAAAGATAAAACAATTACGAGCGTTATCGGAGTGCCCTACATTTGCCTGGGCGTCACTGCCATCCTGGCCCGCACCATGTCCAGGGGATAGGTGAGCATGACCGCCGTGGTGCCAGCCAATGATCCTGCCAGGAAACGTGGAAAAGGAGGCAGGGCTCTGAAACAGACAAGATGGATTCCATCACATTAGAGAACATCTATGGTTTCTACAATGAATGCGTATCATTGTATTATTAGGAATTGTCACAGTAGAGAAAATGATTTGTTCTGTTCAAGAATGATCACTGAAGGGTTGCCTTGGAGGCTGATGGAGACCACCAGAGGTCAAATGGTGCTACATTAAACAGTGTGTGTATTCTCAATTCTTTACACTGATGAGAACTCTACTCACTTTCCCTGGAAGCCATAGTATCTCCCCAGTATTCCCTTGTACTGATCATGGGAGCAGAACTGGATGGCAGCGTAGGGGATGACCCGCACCATGGTTGCAGAGTTGCCCCTCCACAGGCTGAGGAAGCCATCTTTCATGTACGTACAATAGATGAGTCTGAAGGCTTCCTGGGGGTACACACACAGCAACACAACAATGCTACCGTACCTGTAGACTTCCAGTCATTGCGCTAACGCTGGTTAGCATTCGCTCATGAAACTACCACTAACTTCCTTCATACTGCACACAGAGACATACAAATAGTATCCACTACTTCATCTGACCCTGGGTAAGTAGAAACACGTAGTATCCCTTTAACACTAACTCTACAAGACAGTCAACACACCTTGGGGTGAATGCTAACTTTTTCACTTAGTCATGCATTGAAGTCAATGGGAGACAAGGTTAATTTTTTATTTAAGTGGAAGTTAGGATTCACCCTTATGGCAGCATGCATACTAAACATCAAGTGCATCTTTATTTAGTTTAATGCAAGTTATATAAGAGACTTGTAATAGACTCACCTTAGCAGAGAATCTTTGTGAGGACACTAAAGTAGGAGGAGGAAAAGATGTATTAAGGTATAATAACTGGTAAAGATACTAACAATTAAATATGTATTAAGGCATAATAACTGGTATAGATAGTAACAATGAAATATGTATTAAGGCATAATCACTGGTAAAGATACTAACAATGAAATAAGTATTTCTGAAAGGAACCCTTACTTTGTATTCCTAATGCATGTTCTTCCAGAGAAATTGACTTACCTTGGAAGATGATCTTGGTTCTGTCCAGAGGAGCTATGACAGTTTTGGCCACAGCACCTGCGAACGCTCCACATAGCAGGGTGTCCAACACTGTTAATCTCTGCACACAGAAAGAAACACTAAGTACTCAACTTCACACAGGACACTAAAGACAAACACACTTTGAAATGATATCAGTCAAAAACATACTCCATAACTCACACTCCTGCAGTAATGGAGACTCTAACATGGCATTATCACTGGCTGCAGATATAGGCTAAGGGTATCACATGGAATCACATGTAGGCTTAAGGTTTCTCATGTGCCTGGACTGCCAGAGTGTAATCTGAACTGTCTTTCTGCAGCTTACTAACCCACTTTACAGTCGACTGTAGTAAACCTCTCCTCCACCATTTATACATTTCTTCATGTTCAAGTTTTATTGTCACATGCAGAAGTACAGTGAAATGCTTAACTTGTGACCTCTACCAAACAGTGCAGTAATCAATATTTAAAATGGTATAACTAATAAAATAAATAAAATATAATATATAATATGTTCTTATAGTCATAATACAGAGTAGTAATGCACCATGTCATTGTATCTTGTAGGCTACTCTCGTGCACAGCACTCCCATTATAACCCAGATAGAGAATGGCAAATATACACGTGCAAACAGCTTTTCCCTGCCTCTAACTAGAGATGGAGATAAGCCTTAGCTGGTCCTAGATGCTTCAAGAAAAGCAGCTATATCTGTGTGTGTGTGTGTTGTGTTTATGTATGTATGTATGTATGTATGTATGTATGTATGTATGTATGTATGTATGTATGTATGTATGTATGTATGTATGTATGTATGTATGTATGTATGTATGTATGTATGTATGTACAGTGGGGGAAAAAAGTATTTAGTCAGCCACCAATTGTGCAAGTTCTCCCACTTAAAAAGATGAGAGAGGCCTGTAATTTTCATCATAGGTACACGTCAACTATGACAGACAAATTGAGAAAAAAAAATCCAGAAAATCACACTGTAGGATTTTTAATGAATTTATTTGCAAATTATGGTTGAAAATAAGTATTTGGTCACCTACAAACAAGCAAGATTTCTGGCTCTCACAGACCTGTAACTTCTTCTTTAAGAGGCTCCTCTGTCCTCCACTCATTACCTGTATTAATGGCACCTGTTTGAACTTGTTATCAGTATAAAAGACACCTGTCCTCAACCTCAAACAGTCACACTCCAAACTCCACTATGGCCAAGACCAAAGAGCTGTCAAAGGACACCAGAAACAAAATTGTAGACCTGCACCAGGCTGGGAAGACTGAATCTGCAATAGGTAAGCAGCTTGGTTTGAAGAAATCAACTGTGGGAGCAATTATTAGGAAATGGAAGACATACAAGACCACTGATAATCTCCCTCGATCTGGGGCTCCACGCAAGATCTCACCCCGTGGGGTCAAAATGATCACAAGAACGGTGAGCAAAAATCCCAGAACCATACGGGGGGACCTAGTGAATGACCTGCAGAGAGCTGGGACCAAAGTAACAAAGCCTACCATCAGTAACACACTACGCCGCCAGGGACTCAAATCCTGCAGTGCCAGACGTGTCCCCCTGCTTAAGCCAGTACATGTCCAGGCCCGTCTGAAGTTTGCTAGAGTGCATTTGGATGATCCAGAAGAGGATTGGGAGAATGTCATATGGTCAGATGAAACCAAAATAGAACTTTTTGGTAAAAACTCAACTCGTCGTGTTTGGAGGACAAAGAATGCTGAGTTGCATCCAAAGAACACCATACCTACTGTGAAGCATGGGGGTGGAAACATCATGCTTTGGGGTTGTTTTTCTGCAAAGGGACCAGGACGACTGATCCGTGTAAAGGAAAGAATGAATGGGGCCATGTATCGTGAGATTTTGAATGAAAACCTCCTTCCATCAGCAAGGGCATTGAAGATGAAACGTGGCTGGGTCTTTCAGCATGACAATGATCCCAAACACACCGCCCGGGCAACGAAGGAGTGGCTTCGTAAGAAGCATTTCAAGGTCCTGTTGTGGCCTAGCCAGTCTCCAGATCTCAACCCCATAGAAAATCTTTGGAGGGAGTTGAAAGTCTGTGTTGCCCAGCGACAGCCCCAAAACATCATTGCTCTAGAGGAGATCTGCATGGAGGAATGGGCCAAAATACCAGCAACAGTGTGTGAAAACCTTGTGAAGACTTACAGAAAACGTTTGACCTGTGTCATTGCCAACAAAGGGTATATAACAAAGTATTGAGAAACTTTTGTTATTGACCAAATACTTATTTTCCACCATAATTTGCAAATAAATTCATAAAAAATCCTACAATGTGATTTTCTGGAATTTTTTTTCTCATTTTGTCTGTCATAGTTGACGTGTACCTATGATGAAAATTACAGGCCTCTCTCATCTTTTTAAGTGGGAGAACTTGCACAATTGGTGGCTGACTAAATACTTTTTTTCCCCACTGTATGTATGTATGTATGTATGTATGTATGTATGTATGTGTGTGTGTGTGTGTGTGTCAGTCGTCTGTATCAGCGTTGAGGTTGACCCCTGAGCTTAGAGACAGTCAGGGGTCAGGGTGTGTGTGGAGGCTGTAAAAGCTAGTTGGACCCAATAAATTCCATGATAAGGTGTGTTTGGGATGCAGGGGAGACAAGTATTTTGAGGCCACACTGGGAATTTGCATAGAGCCCAGCAGCAATGCATAGGCTGGCAAGTTTTGACTTGACCCACTTCTGTACTGCTCTTTGTTGCTCTCTTGGGCAATTGAAGAATTTGCAAAACAGAGGTGATGACTAATGTTGCCAGTGCCATTTGGTACTACTTCTAGTCTAGTCCACTCTGACCACATTACCCTGTGCCAGGATCTCCCATGCTACTGGCTGTTGTGGTAAACATGTTTGGCAGCCTTCAGCTGGCTGGTCTTGGCCTGCATGATCCTGCTATAAACAATGATGTGGTATGTAGGCCTGCCTGCCTGGCTGACTGCAATGCAACTCTGCATCAGGGAAAACCCATGAGGTAGGGGCTGGGGGCTGAGGGGGACTCACTTTAGCCTGGCCGGAGGGAGGGCGAGACAGCACTGCAGCCGGGGGCAAGGCTCTCTGGTGATCCTGCACTGTATGGGCCATGTGTGCCCTTGACCACAACAACCAGTAGGCCTATCTATGACAATCAGTCAGCCAACATCAGACAATCCACTGCAGGAGACATAAAAATAGTGATAAACAACAAACCCTCCCACTTCATACATGAGCTCTGTGTCACCTTCATTAAATATGCTGTTATATGTAGGCAATTGGAAATGTATCAACTTCTCTATTCGCAAAGTATTAGATGTGGCCAAATATAAATACAATATAATTAATTTTACTTGTAAGGCAGTAAATCCAAATGACCCATTATAATCCATTTATAGCTTCACATTTAACATAAGTACATATTATATAGCTGAGTTTATTCAACTCCACAATATATACATCTAGATGGAAGATATCCAAACTGGAGCTACATATTAAAAATAGATGTATTATAAATAAGTAATATAGGGACTCAGTGACATAAGCACTCAATAATATTATCATAATCAATCAGTGCAATGAAAAGGTAAACATTACCGCACACCAGGCTGAAAATAAACGCAATGAATGCACATAACAATTGCGCATAACAATTCCCTCACCTTTAATCTGGTTTACTGTGTGTGTTTGATGAAAATCCGGCAAATCTTCAAAATTATTTCACATTCAATCTCTTCCGTCCACATTTCCCTGTTTGTTTGCTGTTGTTGGGTCAATCTCTTTGGTCTTGCAACGCCGCCGTCTATTTGTCAGTCTTTCACACCGTTTACGAAATTTTGACTAGGTGATTGACAACGACATTGCCAAACTGAGACAGGTGGTGGTTTAATTATATGTGTCCTCTGCCTAAAAATTATTGGAGTTTTGCTCGCGCACGAGATTATTATGTCACGTACTTGTTTTGGACTACAAACCGAGATTATTATGGCACGTACGGCACGTACTTGTTTTGGACTACAAGTCCCATGGATATTTTCAAAAACAAAGATCTCGCTTTCACTCGAAAACACGCGAGGGTGACACAGTGCTCAATGGTTGTTGTTGTTGGGAAAATGGCGTCCAACGTAGAGGCCCCGGAATCTTGGTACCTCGCCCTTCTCGGCTTTGCAGAACATTTCCGCACCTCAAGTCCACCCAAAATTCGTCTGTGTGTACATTGTCTTCAAGCGGTTTTCCAATTTAAACCTCCGCAAAGGGTGGAGGCAAGAACTCATCTTCAACTAGGCTCGGTCCTATATCATCATACGAAGAACAGCGAGCTCGCGCGGAGCCACTTGGAGAAAGCGGTGAGGAGGGAGAGTTTGGAAAAGCTCGTGGATGGAGTCAGAGATGCGCTCATCGGGGTCTCGTATAGTGAAATGGGAAAACGTTATATTGCTAGCTTTAGATCCTGACCCTTTGATCATATCATTCATATGTAATTGCATTCAGAATATTATTTGTTAGTTAGTTAGCATGATAGTTTAGCCGCCAGTCCTATTGCATCTACTGTAGCTAGATAGCGTCACTGTGTTACAAGTTGCAAACAGTTGATTACTTTGACTAAGTTATGCATCCATAATGTGTATTTTGTCTCTAACATCTCTTTTCTTTTTAGTGGTTCATATCACAACAAGTATCCTTTTCAATTCTATGGTTTCAACCCCAACACTTAGCTGGGGAACAACACAGTGCTTGGTCCTCTGTAACTCAGTTGGTAGAGTATGGCGCTTGCACCGCCAGGGTTGTGGGTTCGATTCTCATACATAAAATGTATGCATGCATGACTGTAAATCGCATTGGATTAAAGCGTCTGATAAATGGCATATAGTATGTTACTAACTAGCATTACAATGTGTGTTTGCTGTTCCAAGCACATCTCAGTAGTCAAATTCTGGATTAAATGTCAAGATTATGTGTGTATTGCTAGGTATTATTACTGCAATGTTGGAGCTAGGAACACAAGCATTTCACTGCACCAGTGATAACATCTGCAAATCTGTGTACCCAACCAATAAACTTTGATTTGATATGGCTTCCTTCACTGAATATCTCAGATCCCACAGTTTGAAGATGTTAAATTTGAGGCTGCAAGTCTTTTATCAGAACTGTACTGTCAGCAGGTACCGGTAAATAAAGCTAAAATACATTTGAATGCTTTTGCTGTCTGGAGATCCATTTGAAAAACATGTTTATATGCAAGTGTAAGGTTGAATAGTTATGACTCTGTATTTGCTGTTTTCAGAATCTGGTGGATTCTGCAAAGCCTTTACTGCGAAAGGCAATCCAGATCTCACAGCAGACTCCCTATTGGCACTGCCGCCTGCTGTTTCAACTGGCGGTAAGTTGTGTTGCGCTTTATTGTAAGTACTGACTGAACGGAATAGTTGTAGTTTTTATTTAGCCCTTAGGCCGGACAAAGTTGAATTACTGCCCGCCTTACTTTTCAACACACCCCGCAAAAGAAAATCAGATGTGTTATTTTTTGGCCAATATATGCGGCGCATTGTTTATAATGCACTGACCTTTCTCCCTTGAGGCTTTCCCAAGTTGATGCACAAGAGACCAAACAGCCACGGATCACGTGCTCAGAGCCTTGGATTGGACAGTGAAATAGGTTAAACGTGGGTCGTCTCTCATAAACAAACAGTCGGTTAAATTAATGGTTAATGCATCATTTTCAGATCTATTAAAAGCGATTAATAGACGAAACAACAATGTCATTGAACCAATTGACTGGCCAGAGATCAGGGCATTCATCAGCAAAGACGCAGTGCAAGCTGATAGTATTTTGAAAATTTTACATTTTAGTCATTTAGCAGACGCTCTTATCCAGAGCGACTTACAGTTAGTGAGTGCATACATTTTTCATACTGGCCCCCCGTGGGAAACAAACCCACAACCCTGGCGTTGCAAGCGCCATGCTCTACCAACTGAGCTACACGGGGCCCTATCTACCAGGGCCCAAATTGAAGTCAAAATGATTGATGAAATTGAAGTGTGTCAGCTGTATGGTGATTTGCGATTCATTACTTACATTTTACCGGTACTACCAGTAGTAGTAGGCCAACCGATAACACCAAGACGGAATGCGTTTGAAGTGATGATGCGCCGCCGAAAACAGCTAGCATGTCCAGCAAAGTACATCGCCAGTGGCACGCACACACTTCATGCAGATCAGCAGCTCCACAATGTTGTGATCGACTGTCTCCAAGGTGGGGGCTTTTCGTGGCAGCCAGACGAGACAATCGAAGGAGGATGCGGTGAGCAAAGTTACTGGGCTCGAATTTAGTCAAGCTTGCTCTATATAGATTGCTGCTTCTAATTGTGCATGTTATAAACAACATTTTCTATTTTGATGATGATAGGCTATACTCTATGGCTGGATTTATGTATTTTTTCCAATGCTACATTCATTTGGCAGACCTAACTTGATTGACCCTCTACAAGGCCTAGTCTATGAGAGGCCTAATCATATTTGTATGAATATTTTGTTAACGCCTATAGGCTATAGAGATGCATTCAGGTAATGAACTAATTATTATTATTACAGTCCCCTGTAGCTCAGTTGGTAGAGCATGGCGCTTGCAACGCCAGGGTTGTGGGTTCGTTTCCCACGGGGGGCCAGTATGAAAATGTATGCACTCACTAACTGTAAGTCGCTCTGGATAACAGCGTCTGCTAAATGACTAAAATGTAAATGTACAAATTATACATCAACATTTTAATTTGATTACAATTATTTATTGTCAATCATTCTTGAATTAGAAAAAAATATTAAATAGTCTACTCTGTTACCCAATACATCACATTAAATTACGAGATTGGATTGCACTTTTTCCAGTGTTACATTCATTTGACCTAATTCGAATGATTGCCCTTTATTAGCAATATCATATTTTTCATAGAAACGGTAGTCTATGATAGGCCTTTATATTTGTATTGTCTTAATTTGTTAAAGCCTTGTTAGGCTATACAATTAAGTAGATTAATGAACTGATAATACATTCATACATTACTTTTTTCCCAATCATTTTTGAATATGATAGGACGTATAATAGAATGCAATATTCTATGTGAATAATGTTCATTAATGTTAATTTGGGTATTAATAATAATAATCTGATAATCAGGCTGAAATGTGATATTTCTCCTATTTGTCATGTCCATGTAGCCTGGACATTCGTTACCCGATTATCAAAAGCACTCTGGTATATGAACCCCCATCTAGAGAAGTTTAGCCATACCAGACAGATTCCTGCAATTACCAAAAGGCCTTAGATCCTACAACAGATACCAGGAAACACGACACAAGGCATCAAAACTAAGTCAAGATCAACTTCGGGATCATTGCAGTCAGCTCTCTTATCTCAATATCCCAGCACTGAGCTCACCGGAATCACTTCACAGGTATTTAAATGAATGTATTGTGTCATTTTTCTATATCAATTAAGTTTGTGGCACACTACTACTCCTTGTAGATTCATGTCAAACATACTGTTTCTGATATTGTAAAATGTCACAATTTATTCAGGAAATGTAAAAAATGTATCTTCAAAAGTAAGTGTAAGCTTTGTGTTAACCTCTCAACTAAAACTGCCTGTAATCCTTGGTCACATTAGATTTTACATTTTAGTCATTTAGCAGACGCTCTTATCCAGAGCGACTTGCAGTTAGTGAGTGCATACATTATTCTTTTCCATATTTTTTTTCATACTGGCCGCCGGTGGGAATCGAACCCACAACCCTGGCGTTGGAAGCGCCATGCTCTACCAACTGAGCTACACGGGGCCCATCTCAGAGAAGATGTGGTGCGTCTAACAGAGTCCATAGCAGCTTATGCATCCCACTTGGAGAAGGTGAATCAAGCAATGGCCAGACGTCACCAACAGCCCACTCCCCTATGTTTTATGCTACACTGTGAGAGCATCATGCGGACCGGTCAGCCCCCAGTACAGCACTCTCTTACAAGCTTTGGAGAAAGTGCCCCAATACCACCCCCTCTTTCTACTGGACTTTGCTCCTGAAGATAGATTCCAGAAAAGGAAATGGATTGACAACTTGAAACTTCCATTGACTTTCACTTTGTACAAGTATGCCTGTGGTAACTACCTAGGCACTCTGGCATTCAAATGGAAGGTATCCTCACATAGCAATGGTGTTCATGAGACCAGGCAAGCGTCTGTCATCGCCCCACTGAGAAAATAAATACAAACATACCACACTAGAGCAATGCAAAAAGCATTCCTGAGCAAATACGCACATGCTGCCAAAGTGAACACCTACTTCCTGAGAGAAATGTATTGGTTTCTGACAGATGACAAGAGTTCATCAAATGATGATGAACAGGGCCTACTTGATGAGAGAGTATCCTTGTTCCTCCTTGATGGTGATGACCCAGACCTGATTATGGATTTACGGATGAAGTACAGTATTATTTTAACGAATACACAGCTCAGGTCAACGATCGCAGACATGGGGAGTACTTGTACTTACCTTTTGCTATATCAGTGGAGGACTTGCGTGACACAGTGGAAAAGCGGCTTCCACCAGAAACTACAATCCCATCAATACAGTGGCTAAGACTGCAGTTTACACCCAAGAATCCATGGTCCATGTCTGCTCTCCAGTACACAGGAAGGTTTGACCTCAAGTTCATGGTCCAGTCTCGGGTGATAAGAATGGGACATCAAGACTCTGGTGCAGTACAGTGGAACTACATTAAACAGTTTGCCTGCATGTGGCAGAAGGACTGTGAAATGTTATGTGTGGATGATAAGGCAATCATCCCTGTCGGAGAACCTGGCCAGCCTATAGGGACCTGTAACAGAGGCAGACATCCAAGCATTGCTCCTGTGAGTGGGCCAGTTCTAGCAGCTGCCAACCATGATTACCACATCAGTGGTCTTGTACCATCTGTCATGTTGATCCCAGACATCCCATCATCTCCATCTAGTTCATTCTATGTCACTGTCAAGGACAAGGCTTTCCAGCCATCCAGCCCCCTTCGACACACAGTTGAAAATCTCAGCATCCTCAGAGGAGAGAACTACAGTGAAGATGATGTCTCTCTCAACAAGTCAATCTTGATAATTTCAATCTGATGGTGGGCCATACCACATAACCACATATGCCTCTGTTCAAGCATGCCACACACTCCTGTTTGTTCAACTGGATCTTGACATGCTTACCGCCTGTAGAACAGCACCAGGTGACAGCTGGGCCAACCCTGCCGAGAGAGTTAATTCCCTTCTAAACTTGGGGCTTCAGGGAACAGCCCTGGCTAGGGAGAAGATGGAAGAATCAAATGAGAAGCGTGTGAAGACGTGTAGCACAATGACAAGCCTACGTGAAACAGCCACCAAACAACTAGACCTGAAAGAGGCTTTTGAAAAGAGTATCCATCCTGTTGCAGCTGAGTGGCTGGTTGGTTTGAGCGCCTGAAGTGGAAAGGAACACACGTAGAAGTACATCAGCCCGCAACACAGGAAGAAATTGCCAATATTGCACAACAATTCAACATCATTTGTATAGAAGTTGACATGATGCATGACCTCAGCAGCAAAGGCCTTGACAAGGAACCGTACAAGAAATTCCAGGACAGACATTTCAAGATGTCACAATACATGGTACAGATCAAGAAATGCGAGGGAGAAGATCCATGCTGGTACTGCTTAATGAGTCCTCCACGCTTGCCAGAAGAACAATTTAAGAAATTAAGGTTTGCGCCTGATCCAACATTGACAGCAGACAGACGTGAGTACCAGAAATGTATTGATCTTTACAGCTTGGACACCACTGACAATGATAGGTCTTCTCTGACACCAAATATAGAAAATGTAAAGATGAGTGCTGCCATGGTCAGTGCAAAGGTGAGAGGGACCATCAACTGTGTTGAATGTGAGAAACCAAGGTGCTTGTATGCCAAAAGCAAGCTGTCTAAAGAAGAACAGAAAGCAGTCCAACGCATTCGGGATGAGAACATCTTTACATGTGGTTTAGAGCTTTTCCAAGAAGACAATCCATATATATCGAGCAGATAGTTGCTTTCAAGAGGCTAACCTGTGGAATGCAAGTGGAGGCGCAGTATTACTCAGCAATCACAGTGTCATTCCCAGATGTGTGTGTCCATTGTTGATGTCCAGATCTTCTTGAGGGGGAAGAGGTGGTGAGGCTCAAACAATAATTCTGACATGTCAGGCCAATGTGCCCAGTGTGTAAGCAAGAAGGAAAGGAGTTCATTACGAGAGCTCTTATAAATCTTAAAAAGAAATGAACACCCTAGAGACCAGAATAAACAACAAATAAAGGACAAAACAGACCATGCTGTTGAACAGTAAAAAGCAGCAGGTGATTGTGCTATTGCCTCTGACCACAGAACATTGGCCGTCATTTTCATTTCCAGACGATTCTACATGTTGAATGGCCATTGTTTGTTGACACCCAGTAGGTGATCTACTGCACACGGCCAACTTTAGTTATGGTGTATTGTGAAGCTGTTTAAAAAATAAATAAAAAATCAGGAATAAAGAAACCGTCACAAGTTATACTTCCCATTGTGTTTCATTTCTCATGGTTATAACAACATTGTAACATCTGCATTATTTTAAAGAAAAATAGTGTAGGTTTTCGCATGGAATAATATAACTCTTGAAGCTCACATTAGGTGTAGAGCCTGCATAAGTGTCTAGGACAATGTGGTAAAGTACTGTTATTCCTTATCCACTTAATGTTTTTTTTTTTTTTTGCTCGCTCGCCTCACTTTTCTGGAGGGGAAATCCGTTAAACAGTGAATCAATTTTGTCTGGCCTTATTTTACCATGTATGTCAACTGAGAACACATTCTAATTTACAGCCATGACCTGGGGAATAGTTATAGGGGAGAGGAGAGGGGATGAACGAGCCAATTGGAAGCTGGTGATGATTAGGTGGCCATGATGGTATGACGGCCAGATTGGGAATTTTGCCAGGAAAGCGGGGTTAATACCCCTACTCTTACAATAAGTGCCATGGGATCTTTAGTGACCACAGAGAGTCAGGTCACCTGATTAACGTCCCATCCGAAAGACGGCACCTCTCTGTTGGATGTTTGGTTGTAGACTGATACATTGCAATGCATTGAATTTCTCTTTTTTCTTTTTTTTCCTATCAGCAACTGCACACTCTGGAGAAAGACCTTGTGTCTGCCTGTGACCTCCTAGGTGTCGGTGCTGAGTACGCCAGAGTGGTGGGCTCGGAATATACCAGGTGCTGTAACCTTGATGCTCTGAACTATTTACTTTTTATGTCCACATTGATTCATCATTGAAACGAGCGATGTTATTAAACATGCCCTCCAATAGACTTAATTTACATTTTCCTATAACGATAGACTGAATAGGTGATGTATGTTTTCACAGAGCACTGTTTCTCCTGAGTAAAGGAATGGTAAGTCTCAAATTCTTTGTTATGAAAATGCATAATTTTTAATGGCTGTTTGCATTTTAGTAAGGATCAACAGATATCTTGAGTATGATATGTACTTAAAGTGATACTTCAGGATTTTGGTAATGAGGCCCATTATCTATTACCCCAGAGTCAGATGAACTCGTGGATACCATTTTTATGTCTCTGTGTCCAGTATGAAGGAAGTTAGAGGTAGTTTCGCGATATACCATAGACTTCCTTCCAGTCATTGCGCTAGCACTAGTTAGCAACTTCCTTCAAACTGCACACAGAAGCATAACAATGGTATCCACAAGTTCATCTGACTCTGTGGAGGGTCTCATTGCCAACATCCCAAAGTATTCCTTTAAAGCAGAGAAATAAAAAATTATTTTGCACTGGATAATCCATACCATAATGTGTCTTTTTGTCCTGTGTATCAGCTCCTACTGATGGAGAGGAAGCTAGGGGAGGTGCACCCTCTGCTCACTCTGTGTGGGACCATCGTGGAGAACTGGCAGGGAAATCCCATCCAGAAAGAGTCTCTCAGGGTCTTCTTCCTGGTGCTGCAGGTCACACACTACCTGGACGCTGGACAGGTAAGGACTCCTCTTGGCCAAGACCAGGGTGCACAACACATGTCATGGATAGTGAATTAAGGACACCCATGACAACAGTGGTGCACCCCTGGTCAAAAATAAATACTTTCCCTCTAGTTTGTATGGTAATTGTTAAGTAGTTACATTGATAGTGACCCCTTCCTTACGTTGTGTGCTGCAGGTGAAGAGTGTGAAGCCCTGTCTGAAGCAGCTGCAGCAGTGCATCCAGACCATCTCTACACTCCACGACGATGAGATCCTGCCCAGTAACCCGGCTGACCTCTTCCACTGGCTGCCCAAGGAGCACATGTGTGTTCTCGTCTACCTGGTGAGCCCCATCTCTTCCTCATTCACCTGATACCTGAGGACTGATTCCGCCATAAATACTTGTGCAGATCTGAAAGGATTGGACGGCTATATTGTGGTAATAGCAACATTTTACATGGTAATAACTAGGGCCGGAACGATACCAGTATCCCGATAGTAAACAAAACAAAAAGCGGATTTAACGTCTTTACTAATGTTGGAAACAAACATCATGTTTTCATCCAGAGTAATATGTATTTATTTTCCAAGCTATAGCACACAATATTTTACATACATCAGGTTTTTAAAGGTCTGCTTCGTGTTTTCATTTTTGCCATGGATAAAGTATTGCGATACTGGTATCGCCACAGCCTAAGTAATAACCAGGGTTGGGTAGGTTACTTTTTAAATGTAATCTGTTAGTTACTGTCCAAAATTATAGTCAGTAACGTAACTTTTGGATTACCCAAACTCAGTAACATAATCTGATGACTATGATTACTTTCCCCTTAAGAGACATTAGAAGAAGACAAAAAGGATCCATCAAACACATTTGGTGTGTCATCATAGTGGTCTCTGAATTGTGGTCAGAGTCACTCAGGTGGAACAAACTTAAACTTGCGCATTTTTTCAATGCTGAACTTGTCATTGAGAAAACAGAAAGGTGTCATAATGTATATTTTTTGCAAACATCCTTTCTGAATTTAAAAGTAATCCAAGAGGTAATCATCTATTTTTTCAAAAGTATCTGTAATCTGATTACAATATTTGTGCTGGTAACGGATTACAGATAAAAACTATTTTTTACATAGCTTATTACGTGTAGTCAGTTACATCCCAACCCTGGTAATAACCTTGTTCTCTATATGTTCCAGGTGACTGTCATGCACTCCATGCAAGCAGGGTATTTGGAGAAGGCACAGAAATACACAGACAAAGCGCTCATGCAGCTTGAGAAACTAAAAAGTAGGTGAATTGAAGCCCACTTATCTCGCCTCTGTTTAACACTTACTGTTGTCTAAAACATCTTCTTGACTCCATCTATTTCAGTGTTGGACAGCAGTCCCATCCTCTCCACGTTCCAGGTCATTCTGCTGGAGCACATCATCATGTGCCGGCTAGTCACTGGTCACAAGGCCACCGCATTACAAGAGGTAATGTAGAAGCAACTGTAGACCCATTTTATTTATGTGAAACCTTACTCATTCACTCTGAACTGTGCGAAGTTATAGTGGAAAGTTGAATCAAAGTAACTACTGGACTATATGTGGTCCTCTGTAGCTCAATTTGTAGAGCATGGCATTTGTAACGCCAGGGTAGTGGGTTCGATCCCCGGGACCACCCATACGTAAAAATGTATGCACACATGACTGTAAGTCGCTTTGGATAAAAGCGTCTGCTAAATGGCATATTATTATTATTATTTTTATTATTATTATTACAGTGGGGGAAAAAAGTATTTAGTCAGCCACCAATTGTGCAAGTTCTCCCACTTAAAAAGATGAGAGAGGCCTGTAATTTCCATCATAGGTACACGTCAACTATGACAGACAAAAAATCCAGAAAATCACATTGTAGGATTTTTAATGAATTTATTTGCAAATTATGGTGGAAAATAAGTATTTGGTCAATAACAAAAGTTTCTCAATACTTTGTTATATACCCTTTGTTGGCAATGACACAGGTCAAACGTTTTCTGTAAGTCTTCACAAGGTTTTCACACACTGTTGCTGGTATTTTGGCCCATTCCTCCATGCAGATCTCCTCTAGAGCAGTGATGTTTTGGGGCTGTCGCTGGGCAACACGGACTTTCAACTCCCTCCAAAGATTTTCTATGGGGTTGAGACCTGGAGACTGGCTAGGCCACTCCAGGACCTTGAAATGCTTCTTACGAAGCCACTCCTTCGTTGCCCGGGCGGTGTGTTTGGGATCATTGTCATGCTGAAAGACCCAGCCACGTTTCATCTTCAATGCCCTTGCTGATGGAAGGAGGTTTTCACTCAAAATCTCACGATACATGGCCCCATTCATTCTTTCCTTTACACGGATCAGTCGTCCTGGTCCCTTTGCAGAAAAACAGCCCCAAAGCATGATGTTTCCACCCCCATGCTTCACAGTAGGTATGGTGTTCTTTGGATGCAACTCAGCATTCTTTGTCCTCCAAACACGACGAGTTGAGTTTTTACCAAAAAGTTCTATTTTGGTTTCATCTGACCATATGACATTCTCCCAATCCTCTTCTGGATCATCCAAATGCACTCTAGCAAACTTCAGACGGGCCTGGACATGTACTGGCTTAAGCAGGGGGACACGTCTGGCACTGCAGGATTTGAGTCCCTGGCGGCGTAGTGTGTTACTGATGGTAGGCTTTGTTACTTTGGTCCCAGCTCTCTGCAGGTCATTCACTAGGTCCCCCCGTGTGGTTCTGGGATTTTTGCTCACCGTTCTTGTGATCATTTTGACCCCACGGGGTGAGATCTTGCGTGGAGCCCCAGATCGAGGGAGATTATCAGTGGTCTTGTATGTCTTCCATTTCCTAATATTTGCTCCCACAGTTGATTTCTTCAAACCAAGCTGCTTACCTATTGCAGATTCAGTCTTCCCAGCCTGGTGCAGGTCTACAATTTTGTTTCTGGTGTCCTTTGACAGCTCTTTTGTCTTGGCCATAGTGGAGTTTGGAGTGTGACTGTTTGAGGTTGTGGACAGGTGTCTTTTATACTGATAACAAGTTCAAACAGGTGCCATTAATACAGGTAACGAGTGGAGGACAGAGGAGCCTCTTAAATAAGAAGTTACAGGTCTGTGAGAGCCAGAAATCTTGCTTGTTTGTAGGTGACCAAATACTTATTTTCCACCATAATTTGCAAATAAATTCATTAAAAATCCTACAATGTGATTTTCTGGATTTTTTCCAGAAAAGGCCTCTCTCATATTTTTAAGTGGGAGAACTTGCACAATTGGTGGCTGACTAAATACTTTTTTTTCCCCACTGTATATGATGGGCATTTTCCTGCCCATTGACAGTTGAGATAGGATGGAGAATAGAGGCAGCATGTCATTTATAAGGATGATTACTTTTTCTCCCCGTATCCCAGATCTCCCAGGTCTGCCAACTGTGCCAACAGTCCCCCAGGTTATTCACCAATCACGCTGCCCAGCTTCACACTCTACTAGTGAGTATTTTAAACCTTCACCCAGAAGACCCTCAATTCACTGCCTTGAATAACACAGTTGCCACCCCACTTCTCTAGCTGGGACGACTGTATCTCTAAAACACTTAACTTTGTTTATGTGCTGTTCCATTTCTCAGGGCCTATATTGCATATCTGTCAACTGTATGGACAATGCAGAGGCACAGTTCACCGCCGCTTTGCGGGTAAGTGACGTAAGTCGTAACGCTAAGCTTATTATATGGGTTTATGTCTGCATGTGTTCAATATGTTTTACATTGTCACATTTTGGGTAGTGATAGTGAGTAAATCTGTGTGTTTCCTTTCCAGCTAACCACACACCAGGAGCTGTGGGCGTTCATTGTGACAAACCTGGCCAGCGTCTACATCAGGGAAGGAAACAGACACCAGGAGGTTAGTACACACTCTATTCATTTTTACTCAAAAGAAAGTATTGTCAACTGTATTAACTTCGTTCTTTCTTTTAAAGCTCTACAGTCTCCTTGAGAGGATAAACCCTGATCACAACTTTCCTGTGAGGTGTGTAAGCGCGTATTGCATAACAGAGATTTTAATGGTTACTCAATCTTGCTTTTGTAATCCAAACACATTCTCAGAGCCAAATACCTTATTTTTGAAGGCTAAGTGTGCAGCCTGTTGGTGAGAAGGTGTATTGACTTCGAGTTGATTGACGTGTGTTTGTGTTGCAGCTCTCACTGTCTCCGTGCTGCAGCCTTCTACATCCGAGGACTCCTGTCCTTCTTTCAAGGACGCTACAACGAGGCCAAGTAAGTCTCCCCCACCTCCTCTTTTACTGAGTTGCTGAGAAGTGTCCCATAAGTTCCTCAAACTTTCAGTGGGAATTGGGAAATAATAATTTTGTGATAATAATTTTATTGCAGACGGTTCCTTAGAGAAACTCTGAAGATGTCCAACGCGGAGGACCTGAATAGACTGACAGCCTGCTCACTGGTTCTGCTAGGCCATATATTCTATGTACTGGGAAACCACAGGGTAAGATCACTCCACAATGGTCACAAATTGATCTTTTGCCAGAAACATCTACCCTGCCCCTGTTGGTTTATTTATTGGTATATTCGGATCCCCATGAGCTTTTGCCGAAGCAGCAGCTATTCTTCCCGGGGTCCACAAGTAACAAGACACTGATAGACAAGGACAGTCACACAAATTTAAAATACAACGATATACAAAAAATACAACTAAAAACATGTAATAATAGTACAAACAATACAATGAAAAAAAATGTGTGTCTGTGTCCCAAATACAAACTTTTCACCTTTTGTTGTCCATGCCGTACTGTGTGTATGTATACATTTTATTCAACGTGTGTGCGGCAAAAGATTTTGCTTCTGTAGGTTGCATAACAATATGTTGTTGTTTTTGTCCAGGAGAGCAACAACATGGTGGTTCCAGCGATGCAGCTGGCCAGCAAGATCCCGGACATGTCTGTCCAGCTGTGGTCCTCTGCCCTTTTAAAAGGTACGCCCACACCTGCACATTTTCTTTGTCTTTGGATTGAGCTTCATTGCTCCCTACTAGGCTTAAAGTATTTGAGGTAGGTTTCCTTGACCACATTGTTTTTGTCTTGTCCCGGTAGATCTGAACAAGGCCCTGGGAAACACCATAGACGCCCATGAAGCAGCTCAGATGCACCAGAACTTCTCCCAGCAGCTTCTCCAAGACCACATCGCTGCCTGCAGCCTCCCCGAACACAACCTCATCAGCGTACGTATCAATTTATCCATGTTAACTTTCTATCTTTCATTATTACTGCCGTCAAGGTTGTGTATTGTAGATAGATGATCTAGCTTGTTTAGCTGTGTTTTTCTGTCTGTCCTTTTGTCTTGTCTATCCATCTGTCTGTATGACTGTCTATCTGGCTCAGATGGGTAATTAATAACTCTAATCTGTCTCCTCTGTAACAGTGGACGGACGGCCCACCACCTGGGCAGTTTCAAGCCCAGAACGGCCCAACAACCAGCCTGGCCAGCCTGCTATGAGCATCAGGCTCGTAACACAAGGGCTACCTTCCTTCTGGCCTCAAAGATGTCTAGAATTGAACCATAGTTTATTTCTGTCTTAGGAAAATTAGAGGGGGAGTGTGAAAACATTGTAGCAGTTATATGATAAATGTATTAATGTTGGGGGGTTTTCTCCAGCTTTTCTTTGTATGAATGCAATTTCTCCTTATGCATGGAAGTTCCTGATATTGATTCACTCTACACGTGTTGCTAACCATCTGCTGAGGATTTTCACAGCTAGTCATTGTTTTGCACCACCACATCCTCATGAATTAGTAGGTACACTTGGCATCACTTCTCATTTATTGAACCAGTAACATGTTTTGTTTCATGATAAGTTTGGACTTGGATCTGAATGTTGAATTGGTAGTGTTGTTGAGCTAAAGGGTTTACATTTCTTGCTGAAAGACTGCGAGAGACAATAGTGAAAGAATTGAATGTACAAGTGCAGTTACTTAATGGACCCTGTTGAGCTTTTATTTGAAAAACCTGCTTTGAGAGACTTTCTTTGTTGTAACATTTGGCCTGTCATAGATTAGCAATTTGCCCGTTTTGAAGATGCATCACAAACTCAACTATTGTCTGTACATATGAACTACAGTTAATTTAAGTTCCACAGATCATGAAGTAGGACATTTTTTGAACATACAAGGAACTTCAGATAAAGAAAATCAATATTACTTTTTGTAATATTAGAATTTGTCTTTATAGTTCTAGTTAAGGGTTTTCTTTACAATACATTGTATCGATATGCCACATGCGAAACCTTTATTGTACAGTGACATTTTATAACGTAAATGTAGTCAAGTGTGTAATGAATTTTAAACTATCAGATGTAGTATTCCAACACAATGCTTGAAATTTAAGTCAATCTTAATGGACACATCAGAAGCTTGAGTACTTGCCATATTCTATTCAATGCCTATACTTTTATTGCTTGTTTTAATAATTTTTCTGACAAAAGTGAGAATAAACATGGTATTTGCAACCATCATTTTGCATTGTTTGAGAAAGTGCGTCAGTGGGCAATCTTATCTTTAATTCATCAGGACTTTTCCCACAAATGTACTGAAAATACTACATGCATGCATGTAGCATATAATAATTTCATACCATGATAACCTATGTCCACATGATCCATAGATGAGAGTGCAATTCACCTGAGTTAACTGATTTGTAAATGATTGACCGCAACTCCCTGCATAATGCTGTGCTGTGTGTGCATCAAGACGAAAGTGAAACTGGGCCAACGGGAGCAATGAAAAGAACGATCAAATAATCAAAAAAAAAATGCCCAGGAAAAGGCATGTGCCTGGCTGATGCTTCATTCAATAAGAAGTTTGCACTTTGCACCATTCCATGTATTCTCTAATTATCTTTGTAATCATACATAGAACAAACATTTTTGCAACCACTTCAACTAAAGCTGCGTTTACACAGGCAGCCCAATTCTGATCTTTTTTCCACTAATTGGTCGTTTGACCAATCACATCAGAGCTTTTCACATCAGCGCTTTTTCAGAGCACTGATTAGTGAGAAAAATATCATAATTAGGCTGCCTGTGTAAACGCAGCCATAGTAGACGAAAATCCGGGACACTCAAATTAGTATAATATGTTACGTATGGTATGTTTTAATTTGTGTATGTCCATCATCCATTTGTATAATATGTTACGAATTACAATTCGTACAACATGTTACGAATTTTCAATATGTATTATATGTTAAGAATTCGCTGGTAAGAATAATTATTCTCAGTGTGAGTAAAGATGCTACAACACAGGCCCCATATTAATACTAGATGCCTCTGTTTCATGTGATATTGCTGCATTAGGAATCTGATGAGAAGCAGACAGAGAAGTCTGTCTCTATCATTGAGGATCAGTGGAGGCTGCTGAGGGGAGAACGGCTCATAATAACGTCCGTAACTGAGCAAATGGAATGGCATCAAACACCTGGAAACCATGTGTTTGATATATTTGATACCATTCCACTGATTCCGCTCCAGTCAGTACCATGTGCCTGTTCTCCCCAATTAAGGTGCCACCAGCCTCCTGTGTTGAGGATATGCAGGACAAGTCTGTCTCTGTTGTTATGGATGTGCAGGAGAAGTCTGCCTCTATCATTGAGATAGTGCAGGAGAAGTCTGTCACTATTGTTGAGGAAGTCCAGGAGAAATCTACATCCTCCAAATGCTCTGCCATCTTTGCTTCAACCAGCCACGGTGTGGAGAACAGTTCCATTGAGGAAGGCAATGCCCCCAGTCCCTTCCATCTCTCAGGACACTGGTAAGAATCATTATGCTGTTATTCTTAATGTGAGTAAAAAATGCTCTACTAAAATTAGATACCTCTGTGTGATGCTGCTTCCCAAGAATGAGCGGCAGAGAAAGGAGTCTACCTCTATTGTTGAGGAGAGACAGGAGAAGTCTTCCTCATCTATTGTTCAGGAGGTCCAGGAACAGGCTGCCTCTTCCACATTATCTGCCTTTACCAGCAAGAAAAAGTCTGCTAAGGTAGGGAACAAGTCATCTTGGTCCCTTGCAGCACGTCCATCCCATGGGGAGGATTCAGAGCTGGCTGCACAGAGGGAGTCTCCGAAGAAGGAGAGGCTGTTCTACAGGCTTCACTGGACGAGGAGCATTGCACAAACACAAAGATCCGGTTTTAAGACGGAGCAGCACAAGATCAAGAAGCTTGAGGCTGAGAAGCTGGAGCTGAACGGCCAATCAGGAACAGAGAGAAACCAAGGATAATTTCTGATCCAACTGGCCTCAGCTGGCAGAGGAACAGGGCAGGAGCCAGAAGCTATGGTGAAAGAGCTATGCAATGGTGAAAGACCTATAAGAGTTTAAGTCTGCTTCATCTGCAGATAAATCTCAAAGTGACCAGCTGAAAGAGAGAGAGAGATCTCTGAAAAGTGAGATCTGAGCTCCCAAGTGCAGGCCTTCCTTCAGGTCAATGCAGAAATGAGTCTGAGCGCTGTCGAAATGACCTCTGAACTATCAAAGGAAAAGATCAGGAGACAGAAGCTCCAGACTCAACTCGAGGCGGCCAAGCATCAGAGTGTGCTGGAGGAGCTTTAAGAGACCAGAACAGTCTGCAGTGACCTGGAGGAGACATGTGGCCTCAGAGATGGTCAAGGCTGAGAAATTCCATGAGAAGAGTCTAGCCCTGGAAAAGAGCAAGCAAGAACAGAGTGACCTAACTTCCAGCCTGCAGGCCGAGCACAGTCGCTGCCACTGCCTGGTTGTGGAAGGTGAGGCCATGGTCAAAGACCTGAAGTCAGCTTTGGACACAGCGAAAGTATACGGTGTCCAGCTGAGTGAGAAGCTCCAGACAGAGAGCTCAGCACGTGAGGCTCTGAAGTCGCAGCACCAAGCCCTGATGTGGCAGCACCAAGCCCTGATGTGGCAGCACCAAGCCCTGATGTTGCAGCACCAAGCCCTGATGTGGCAGTACCAAGCCCTGATGTGGCAGCACCAAGCCCTGATGTTGCAGCACCAAGCCCTGATGTGGCAGCACCAAGCCCTGATGTTGCAGCACCAGGAGCTGGAGGGTGATGGTCTCTAAACATCAAACCCTCCTAGCTCAACATCACAGCCTCCAATCTAAGCTCCAGGACATTGAGGCAGACTACCAGGGCCTCCAGACCAAACTCCAGACTCTGACCAGTTAGTACAGGGCCATGCAGACAAAGAACAAGGCCTTGAAGTCCATGTGCAAGAGCCTTTACTCTGACCACCAATTTCTGATCTCCGAACATAAGGCTGTCCTCTCACAGCAGCAGCCCCTCCGATCAGAGTTTCAGGAGCAGCACCATAAGCTGCAGTGGCAGCAGCCGGACCACTGCAGGGTGGCTGCAGCCCTCTCAGAGGACTACCAGAACCTGGAGAAAGTGCTACAGACAGCTGACAGAGTGCTGGGCCAAATAAAGAACAGTGACATTGGTTTACAAGGACACTATGGGAGGATGCTGGGAGACTGTGCCAAAAAGTATTATTGCCCCACTAAGGAAGAGGAGGAAAGGCATGCTGGTACCAGGGCAGAGGCATCTTTGCTCCAGGGTACTCTGCAGCTGCTGGACCACAGAGAGAAGAACAAAGCAAGAGGCAGCCAAAGAGATATGACCACTCGCAATACTTGTACCAAAGACACTGGGCCAAAGGAACCCAAAATGTTTGGCCCCGCTGAGGAACGGGAGGAAATAAATGCCAGGAGGAAGGCCAAGTTGTCCTTGCTCAAGTCTACTCGTGGCTGCTGCAACACAAATATAAGAACAAAGAGAGAAGCAGCCAAACAGATATGACCAACCGCAATCATTTATTTTTATTTAAGGATTTTTGTTAGGCTAAGTTGTGGTAAACAGCTTGGTTTACTTTGTATGAATGTTATTTTCCTTATGCATTGAGTTTACTGATATGAATCCACTATGAATAATAAAATTGCTGCTGCTAGCCAATTCCTGAGGATTTTCACAACTAGTCATCATTTTGTAGGACAACATCCTTTTGAATTCAATAGTAATATAAGGGACCCGAGTGGTGCAGTGGTCTATCGCAGTGCTAGCTGTGCCTCTAGAGATCCTGGTTCGAATCCAGGCTCTGTCGTAGCCGGCCGCGACCGGGAGACCCATGGGGCGGCGCACAATTGGCCCAGTGTCGTCCAGGGTAGGGGAGGGAATGGCTGGCAGGGATGTAGCTCAGTTGGTAGAGCATAGCGTTTGCAACACCAGGGTTATGGGATCGATTCCCACAGGGGGCCAGTATGAAAAAATAATAAAAAATAATGTATGCACTCACTAACTGTAAGTCACTCTAGATAAGAGCGTCTGCTAAATGACTAAAATGTAAATAAGATTAGAATTTCTTGCCCATCAAGTACAGTTATTTAATGAACCAGCAGGGGCCCCATTTGAGCTGTGTTTTGATAAACCTGCTTTGAGACAGTGAATTTCAGTAACATTTGGCCCTGTCATAAAAACCCATCTGCCTTTTTGAATATACATCTCAAACCCAGAACTATTTTTTAATTGCCACAGTTGGAAATCCAAAATATATAGACACAAAGTTTGAATACTTGCCATATTCTATTCAATGCATGTGTTTTTAAATTATTATTTTTGGATAGAAGTCTGAATAAACATAGTATTTGGAACCAAAGTGTTAGGGAATGTTTGTCAGTAAGTGTACTTAGTGTTTATTAGAACTGAGTTCTATGTTGAGAACTACACTACCGGTCAAAAGTTTTAGAACACCTACTCATTCAAGGGTTTTTCTTTATTTTTACTATTTTCTACATTGTAGAATAATAGTGAAGACAACTATGAAATAACACATATGGAATCACTTAGTAACCAAAAAAGTGTTAAACAAATCAAAAAATGTTTTTATTTGAGATTCTTCAAATAGCCACCGTTTGCATTGATGACAGCTTTGCACACTCTTGGTATTCTCTCAACCAGCTTCATGAGGTAGTCACCTGGAATGCATTTCAATTAACAGGTGTGCCTTCTTAAAAGTTGAGCCAATCAGTTGTGTTGTGACAAGGTAGGGGGGGTATACAGAAGATAGCCCTATTTGGTGAAAGACCAAGTCCATATTATGGCAAGAACAGCTCAAATAAGCAAAGAGAAACAACAGTCCATCATTACTTTAAGACATGAAGGTCAGTCACTACGGAAAATGTCAAGAACTTTGAAAGTTTCTTCAAGTGCAGTCGCAAACACCATCAAGCGCTATGATGAAACCGGATCTCATGAGGACAAGCCACATGAATGAAAGACCCAGAGTTACCTCTGATGCAGAGGATAAGTTCATTAGAGTTACCAGCCTCAGAAATAACAGCCCAAATAAATGCTTCACAGAGTTCAAGTAACAGACACATCTCAACATCAACTGTTCAGAGGAGACTGTGTGAATCAGGCCTTCATGGTCGAATTGCTGCAAAGAAACCACTACTAAAGGACACCAATAAGATGAAGAGCCTTGCTTGGGCCAAGAAACACGAGCAATGGACATTAGAACCAGTGGAAATGTGTTCTTTGGTCTGGAGTCCAAATTGGAGATTTTTGGTTCCAACCGCCGTGTCTTTGTGAGACGCGGACACTGTGAACGGATGATCTCTGCATGTGTATTTACCACCATAAAGCATGGAGGAGGAGGTGTTATGGTGTGGGGGTGTTTTGCTGGTGACACTGTCTGTGATTTTATTTAGAATTCAAGGCACACTTAACCAGCATGGCTACCACAACATTCTGCAGCGATACGCCATTCCATCTGGTTTGGGCTTAGTGAGACTATCATTTGTTTTCAACAGTGCTCAGCATATGTGGGAACTCCTTCAAGACTGTTGGAAAAGCATTCCAGGTGAAGCTGGTTGAGAGAATGCCAAGAGTGTGCAAAGCTGTCATCAAGGCAAAGGGTGGCTATTTGAAGAATCTTAAATATAAAATATATTTTGATTTGTTTAACACTTTTTGGGTTACTACATGATTCCATATGTGTTATTTCATTGTTTTGATGTCTTCACTATTATCCTACAATGTGGAAAATACTAAAAATAAAGAAAAACCCTTGAATGAGTAGGTGTTCTAAAACTTTTGACCGATAGTGTATATTGAGTTCATCATGACTTTTCCCACTACCATGTTCGCATTGGGCACACACTGGTTGAACCAACGTTGTTTCCACGCCATTTCAATTAAATTACGTTGAACCAACGTGGAATAGATGTTGAATTGACGTCTGTACCCAGTGGGTTGTGATAAACATGCAGTACTTTTATATAGCCTACATACATTTATATTATTTAGATACATTGACTTAACTCCTTATTCACACAGTAGTCATCTATATTCATATTGTACTGTGCAGTTACTTGGGAATAATTTCCTTTATAGTTATCATTATATCGCTTTCATAAAATAAATTGTCCCCAACTAACTACACAGTACAATACATGAGCCCATAAAGACAAGACAAGACATCTTGTATCTTGTAGGTCCAACATGACATTGGGCTCCCGAGTGGCGCGGTCTAAGACACTGCATCTCAGCGCTTAAGGCGTCACTACAGACCCCCTGGTTCGATTCCAGGCTGTATCACAACCGGCTGTGATTGGGCGGCGCACAATTGGCCCAGGTTTGGCCGGTGTAGGCCGTCATTGTAAATAAGAATTTGTTCTTAACTGACTTGCCTAGTTAAATAAATAACAAATTCAGAGTTGAGTTCATTTGGGGAGAGTATCATTCAGGCACAGGACAGAGGAAGATATATTTTTAAACTTCACTTTGACTGATGCGTCTGATTTGTAGATCTCGTTTGATGTTACTTATTCAGGGGAATGCTGAAGCCCTCCTGATAATGAATTACTGCAGGGATAAATACCGACCTAAGGGTCAGACAGTAATGGTCACATGACTGTCTTTGTTACCAGTCAGACATGCAGCTGTTATGGTTGTCTTTCCTTTGATATGACTTGCACACTGAACAAGTTTACAACAATTGCTGATCACCCAAAAAACTGCAATCATTTGATATCAATCAGCCTCTCGGTTTTGTACGTCATTTTAGAAAGTAATATGTTGTTGGATTTTAGGTATTTTTATAAGTGTTGTTGGGCAGTGATACTTGATAGGTGATAAGTGTCAGCGTAAACAGTTCTGAAAGGAGAAGCTTCCTGCCAAATAGTGAGTCCTGTTGATCGTTACAGGGAGGGGTACTTCCTTGTTTTGCTACTGTACTACAGTGGGGAT